AGAGAGAGAGAGAGAGAGAGAGAGAGAGAGAGAGAGAGAGAGAGAGAGAGAGAGAGAGTCAAGGGAAAGAAAGTCCAAAATAGAAGATGACAAGATCCAGGAAGAGAAAAGTTCGGCGTCACCGTTGTACACTGACGCCAAAGATAACAATCCGCAACAAAGGCGCATTCGCCGTTAATTCCAATATGGCCCCGGGCCAATCAACTCAACACCGATCCTCATACCCGCACCGACGATCCCGACCATTGCGTGCTAACTCCTACCACTGCGATCGTCACCCCGTTGTCGTAAACTCGACACGGTTCACCCAGATCCCACAGTCCGTCGTGGCGATCCAGCTCGCAACCAGCCAGTCTATCGTCAGTCCGACAGGACTTTCCGAATCGCTTCAAACACTCTGCCTAGCCACTGCTTCCCGGAAGCTGGCTTGAGAGTCGAGAACGTAAGAGAGCTTGGCGGGCGAGCTTGCGGGTTTTATAGTTGCGAAAGAGGAGATAGAAGGGGGAGAGAACGACGGGAAGGCGGGGGTGTAGGAGGAGAAGGAGGAGAAGACTTTGAGAAGAGCACTCCGAGAACGCCATGTTGATCCCTCGGAACTCAAGGTTCAACCAATCAGATTCGTCGCGCGATAGGAAGGTCCTATCGATCCACACACCTGATTGGCGAGCGGGAGTTATCGGGGGATCGACTGGGAGCCGTACGCCAGACTCAGAGGGTGAGAAGAGAAAAGGCGCGAGAGGCGGCGCAAGACGGGTCCAAGATTCAGACGATAAAGAAAGGGAAATGGGCGCGCAAAACAGCAAGACGGGGGAGAGGGAGAGAGGAAGAAACAGTTACGGGGAGAGAGAAAGAGGAGGGAGAAGAAAAGGGAGCGCGAGAGGGAACGATGCGGGGGACGGAGAGGAGAAAGCCTCTGTATGCGTGGCGTCGTCAACAAAAAAGAAAGAAAAAGGCACCGAAACAGTTACTGTTTGCTTCTATCCTAATTCAAAATTGAAATCACCACATCCGCGCGCGAAAAAGCGACGCGGAAAAAATCCTACGCCTATTCGTATTCACGCGAAATTCCGAGAGTTTTTCCCCGACGCGCCCAATAACATTCACACACCCAAAAAGGACACGTCGAAGTTCCGCTTATCCCGGAATTCCCAACTACCGAGCCCAATTCCCAGTGCGCTCGCTAAGGCGCACGTAAATTCCCATGTATTTCCCGACTTCGCAAGAAGAAAAACAGAACTCAGCAGTCGAAAAAGCTCTCAAAAAGAAAAATGCGGCACCCGAAAGCAAGAACTCAAAACGGGGTTTTCCTGGGGTTGGTATGATACAAGCAAAGGAAAGGGTACGAAAGATGGCACGGGGTTGGGAAGTGGTTCGTCACATATGTGACGCGCAGGGGGTTCCAAAATTATGCGATCTCCTGATTGCATGGAATGGCTAAAGAAAGAGGGGAGAACAGAGTGATGCATGAGGAACCAAGCATATCAACAGGGTAAAAGAAGTACAAGGAACGATAACTGGGTCGCGGGTGAGATGGCGACAACATCCGTGGCAAGATCTCTGTAGCCCCGTCATATCCAACCCTCTGCCTCGTGGAGATCGTCCAGGTGACGCCATCATGGTCCACCTGATCTCCGTGTGCTCTGCACCCTTGCTCGTTGTCGTTTGTCGAATCAGCGCGTAGGTTGACGTCATCGTTGATGGCGTGATCTTCGCGAAGCTTACCGCTTCGTGTAGGTGAAGAGAGGAGAGGAAAAAAAAAAGAAAAAAAAAAAAAAAGGGGGGGGGGGGGGGG